CCCAGGAGGAACGAGGAGAGGGAACCCAGGAGGAACGAGGAGAGGGAATCCAGGAGGAATGAGGAGAGGGAATCCAGGCGGAATGAGGAGAGGGAGCGCAGGAGGGATGAAGAGAGGGAGCTCAGGAGGAACGAGGAGAGGGAGCTCAGGAGGGATGAGGAGAGGGAATCCAGGTGGAATGAGGAGAGGGAATCCAGGCGGAATGAGGAGAGGGAATCCAGGAGGAACGAGGAGAGGGAGTCCAGAAGGGACGAGGAGAGGGAGCTCAGGAGGAACGAGGAGAGGGAATCCAGGAGGGAGGAGGAGAGGGAATCCAGGAGGGACGAGGAAAGGGAGTCCAGGAGGGACGAGGAGAGGGAACCCAGGCGGAACGAGGAGAGGGAATCCAGGCGGAACGAGGAGAGAGAACCCAGGCGGAACGAGGAGAGGGAGTCCAGGAGGAACGAAGAGAGGGAATCCAGGAGGAACGAGGAGAGGGAGTCCAGAAGGGATGAGGAGAGGGAGTCCAGGAGAAACGAGGAGAGGGAATCCAGAAGGAACGAGGACAGACGAAGGGAGAATTCCCCACACAGGCGAAAATGAAGACCAACCACAGTTTGAAATAAATGTGCATTTCTGAGCTGTTAAGACTGTATTTTAAAATCTATTACTGAACTTTCTTTAAAAAAAGATTTTGTACAAAGTGATAGTTTGCATTTGTAAATTTTACCAGACTTTTTCAAATTTTCTGTACCACTTTTTTATAATTGTATCGTTAAGTCTTTCTGTTAAGTTCTTCCTTGAGAAAGACAAGGCTCTTTATTTTGTGAATAAAACCATTAAGATATCAGCAAAATGGGTGTTTTGTCACTTAGTTTTAAGTATTTGTAATTGTAACTTTACAGCCAAAAAAACCTTTTTTTTTTAATTTTGCTTGTTAATTCAAAGCCAGATGCTGAGGCCGGGGTGAGAAACAACAAATTTCAGATTACAGTGTGAATGTTATATGAGAAAACTTTACAAAAATTTTCAAACAGGCATTCTATATGTGTATATTCTTCCAACTATACAAATATGAAAAAAATTTCAGTAAATACTTCAGTTGATTTTTTTAAATTAAGATTTTTTAAATTGAAACCCCAGTGTTGCTGGTTTAAATGTCACATGTGAAAGTGTGTCAACTTGTTCTGTTACTTTTCACAATGTTTTTTAATATTGTGACATCCTGAGCAAGTTACACTTGGGATCTTAGAGGGTAAAATGATTAGTTTGGTTTTTATTTTTTTAACTATGAATTTGATTTTAAAGTCATAGACTTCAACTCTAGCACTACAAAGGAGTTGTTTAAGGAACATCTTTCCCAGTATATAAAAAGTAAGCAAAATAAGAGGTGTTTCAAGTCTTTTTAGACGTTTTGAACTACAGGGCTTGAAGTGCTCAAGCTCATTGGAAGCAAAGTTTAAAATAAAAAAGCAACCCTCAGTTGCTGCAGCAGTTTATAGTATAAAATTGTTCTATCTGAAGTCGTGTGGACCAACTAGCTCTGTCTACATTGATTGCATGAGAAATTAAATCAAAATCATCTGGTTAAGGCTCTAATTCTCAACAGTAAATAGCTAAGAAAAATATGGAAAGTCTTCTGGGGTGAAATAGGAAGTAGTGTGGGCATGGTTGGTAGGAGAGAGAGGTGATAGTTGAACATTATGCAGTTGTTGAAGCTATATAACTACATTTTTCTTTTTTAATTTGTGAAATTTACAATTGCTGGACATATGAGAACTTACACATTTCATGTGTAAATCATATTTCATCTTCTATAAAGCATAAGAAATATATTTGAGCTGTTTTATAACAGAAAATAGAACCATTCCTAAGGAAATAGATCATTTTTGCCTAAGTTGTCACATTTTTCTAAGAAAAATGTCTCAATTTTTTTTTCTGTATTTAGCAGAATTTATTTATGCTACCTTTCATGTAATAAAAGGTTTTAAGTCAAAAACATTTGCATAGAAAATAAATTCATATTGCAAAAAAAATAAGGTTTCTATCTTGTTAAGCCATGCATCTAAAAATACTTAAGTGGCATCATGTGGTATATGTTTAAACTGTTGGTTTTTTGCCCAACCCACGTCTCATTTTCAAAATGATTTGTGCATTTTGGCAGTATGTGTTAAATCCATGAAAACCTAATTTGAAAAAATGTTTTCTAAAAAGAATTCTGATGATTATTATGCTTCTTTGATAGCTGTCTATGCACATTATTGAAAATAATCAATACTTCATAATGGTTTAATTGTACAAGTTTATTTAATTTATCTAAAGTAATAGTTCCCTTACTATGTTATGGGTTTAATAGCATATTTTTTATCAACCCATAACTTCTGAGATATTCTGGTCAAGTTAAAAAGTTTGTTAATGACATCATTAATAAATGGAAATGCATTAAAACGGTACCTGTGAAAACAAAATATTTAATAAAAAATAAAGCACTTGATCTCAGACATTCTGATCAGGAAACGCCAGCTTAAACATCTCTAGTTCTTTGTCTTATTTCACCCTAGCGGCTAAAAATACTGTGCTCTTTTGAGAAAACAGAGAGAGGGTGAAATTAGGACTTGAGCTCAAGTCTTTGCTGCATATACAATTTCTTTGTGTTTGGTTGGTTGGTTGTTTTTTCATTTTTTGAAATATTAACAGATATTTAACAGACTGAGCTATTTAAAGTAGCTGTTGTTTTTATTGTTTATGCTCTGAGCAGGTCAAAGTTGTATTTTTTTTTACAAGAGAAAGAAGTCAAAATAGAATGTAGTATTCCAAATGAGGGTATTCCCAGAGTTGCACAGTGCCACAGGAGTTTTGGGGATGGTCAGTTCTGAGTTACTGTAGAGCTGAATGACATGCAGGGATCCAGGGCTTGCTTTCCTCAGCAGTAGCAGCTAATGGTAGTCGAAGCACAGCAAAGGAGTAACTCAGTCATCTAGTCTATAATTAATACTGGAGTTTGGCTCCAGTATTGGCTGAAAGACTTGAAGAAGAGGAGGTCCTGTGATGTTCTTCACTATTTTGTTCAGTTGTTAGTCCTTGGTACTTCAAAGAACTTCCTGCAGGGGGATGGCTCACAGAGGAAGCTTCAGTCCTCAGCTGGGACTGAGCTGCTGTGAACCAAAGAGACATTTGGGAAGGAACCTGTTCTGATCTTGCATGCTTAAAACTTACCTTTCAAAACTGGTTGTAGTATCCAGGTCCATGGATACAGCAAGAGAGGCTTCATCCATCTTGCTAGGGCTCCCTGGCTGAGATCCTGGATTTCCTCACGGTGGTGGCGTTAGGTGTTAGAGAGATGAGCTGCTGACACACTCAGCAAATTTGCCATTCGTGCAGGAATAAATCTTGACAGAAGTGTTTGTGGTATTTGTAAGAACTGTAATTCTGTGCTGTAACTATATTTTATTTGGAGCAAGGTCTGAGAAGCTTGGTTATTCATATACTCAAGTCTAAAGCATGTTTTCTTGAGGGAGAAAAAAAAAAGACTACCACTGTTTAGACCACTTTGTTACAGAAATCATCAAAATACAACCTCACAGTATGAAAGCAGTTATATAAATTTTGGGACAAAACTGTCCACTCTTTGTTTAAAATACTTTAAAATTGCCATTTGCAGATCCTGCTTTCTAAAGCCATTTGAGTTGCAATAAGCAATATTGCAGCCTTCAGATTGTGGACAGTTCATCTCCTCAGTTTCACTGACTATGAAAGTGTTTTTGTGTTATGTTTAATGAGTTTTACAATCAGATCATGTACATATTGAAGATCAAACACAATTTTTAATATTACTACTAATACTAACTGGATGTCGATGGTATGTTATATTAACCTAGGAGCATGGTGTTCTCTAGTTTACTTAAGGTTCCAGTAACATAACTCTTAAATTTGGAATGCAGGGTGTACTCTAAAGTAGCTTAGTACTTGTCAGCCCCCCAAAAAATACATGAGCTAGGGTGAGCACTTCAAGCTCCAATAACAGTTTAACGGCCTCCCTGTTACTAAATTGGTATTGTGAATTTAAAAGAAGACAATAGCTTATCTTCACCATTCTTAAACTGCTTTATCTTTCACTGTTGAGGAAAGCATAAGGCTAATTTTCTCAGAGTATCTAAAAAAGCAGGAGTCTATTATTATGTGAGCAGAGAATTGACTCTGCTTACTCTAATAACATAAAGAGAGCAGGAAGACTTGTCCTTCAATTTACTTTCAGTTAGATTTAGTATACTTTTTAAAGCTGTTTTGAATTTGTCAAAATAATTTTTTAAGAAATGGCGAAGTCAAAATGCAGAATAAAGGGGTATTTTAATTAAAACTACGTAAAACATGAATTGGTAGGTTAAAAGTGTCCTGAGCAAAATATTACTTTATATACTGGAAAAATGAGGTCAGTTCAAAGATGTTCTGCTTTTTTTATGTTTTCCTCAAGTCTGTAATTTAGCTGAGATTTTCTTTTCTTGTCTACTCATGAATGTCATCAAACTTTTTCTTCTAACTTAAAAAGAAACCTGAGAGGGTGCAACTTAAAACCTTAATGTTGTTGGGGAAAATGTTTTGTTAGCCCGTAAAACAGACAAGTCCATTAAGAAAATTAACTATCACATTTTGACTGTTCAAGCTATGTCCATTTTGACTTCCCTTTTTCCATTATTTTGTGAAATAAAATGGGCACCAAAATCTTTCTTGTGGGAGAAAATAAGGTGCAACATTTCTTAAGAAGATGGGGGGGAGGGAGAGCAAGGATGTGGAAGAGGATGCCAAGCTCCAAGAAATGAGAGAATTTGTCTTCAGTGTCGGGTGCCTGTGACAGGTAAGGAGGTGAGGTGAAGGCTGTTCTCACAGGGGGCTGCTGGCACAGGGGTGTGGTGCAATGCTGATTGGTTTTAGCTTGGTCACTGGTATTGCTCCTTAATTACTTAATCAAAATGTGCGTTCTCCCTTTAAAATTGGAGGTCCCTTGGCTTTTTTCCCAGTTCCTTACCTATTGCTTTCAGAGGTACTTTATGCCTCAGTCACAGCTGTGAAATCTCTTGTGAAATGTCAGATTCTGGATTTTCTATAATAAAAAGCTGTGTAAAAATTCCTTTGGTACTACCTTACCTAAAATTTGGTATAACTTGAAGAAGATTCCTTTTATTTTCAAGTCTCCATGGATAAGCTCATTCCATCCCATAAAGACTGGAAATTTTCAGCACCCTTTTTTTTGCCCTGCGGTAATACTTTAGATAATTGGAGAGATACTCATTGATTTAAAAGGGAGAAAAGTAAGATGGTTCATATAGTCACTTAGAGATGCTGCTCCTATATTGCCTGTATTTATTCTGCTCAGTACTCTTAGTCTCATTAGGCTTGTCTTCTTTTTCTCCTGCTCTAGTTACAGGTTTTTCATTTTTTCCCTGGTCCTTCTGAACTTCATTCTTTATCACATGCGGTGTTAACCATCTAGAAAAGTATAATGTCAAAAATACATCAAAAATTTACTATATATCACTTGCATAATGCATCAAAAATGATCTTTAAAGGATAGCTTGACTGAAGGAACAATGTGCACACCTACAATAAAGAACAAGCGTGCAGCATGCTGCTTGCCTTCTTCCTACCTTGGAATAATGAGTTACAGGACAATTGCAAATTTAACAAGGTTAATCAGTCTAACATTTGTTAACATTTCTTTCTGATTGCCTTTATTTTGTACTGCCTTTGCTAGGAAGAAGCCTCGGTGGAGTTTTACAGATTTCTGAATTTAGATAAGGAGATCTCGTGTATGCCAGTGTGCCCTCAGAGGAGCCACAGTGGTACTATTAACAACAGAAA